CTCTAGTAAGTGTCCCTTTTCATTTATTGATAAGTGCACCATTCACGTCTGATAATTGCCCTATTAAAATCTGAGAGGTGCCCCTTTCCTTTGTACACATTTCCTATGCCCTTTTTAATAACTACCCCTTTGTAACTCGAATAAGCACACCTTTTCACAAATGCCTCTTTTCACCTATGAAAAGTGTCTATTTTCATTCTCAAAAGAGCCTCTTTTCATTTCTGTTTCTGGTAAATGACACTGCAGGTACGAGAAGTTACTCCTTTTTCAATTCAGATAAGTGCCCCCTTCATGCACCTCCGATGATTGCCCCATTTCAAACGTGAGAGATACCCGTTTTACTTTTAGAATTACCCCACCCCCTGATAAGTGCTCTTTTTATCACTAATCACCGCCCCTTTTCATCTTAATTAATTGCCCCTTTTATTTTGACACATGTCCCTTTTCCTTCCTAATAAATGCCCCTTTTTTACTTATAAGTGCCCCTTTTCTTTCAACAAATTGACATTTTCCTTTATTATAAGTGCCCCTTTTCATATTTGGTTAGTGCCCCATTTCACCTCTGATAATTACCCTTTTAACAATGATACGTGCCCCTTTTCCTTTCTAATAAGGGACCTATCCCCTTTTCGCCTCTAACATCTGATAGTTACCCCTTTTCCGTCAACAAGCACCCATTTCTTATTCTCATAAGTGCCCTTTTTCATCCGTGGTGAGTGGTTCTTTTTTAGGTGAAAGAAGTACCACATTTTCACCTCTGATAACTACCTTTTGTACTTTGAGACGTGCTCCTTTTCTTTTCTAATACGTGTCTTATCCCTTTCGATAAGTGTCCCCCTTTTTTATCATTAAAACAGCCCCTAATTTTAAGCGACTAGAAGCAATTTCCCCCAGAGCTCGTTCGCTACGCTCGGTAGCATTTATAGATGATATAATTATGTTACTTATCAAAGGTCTTTTCAGTCTTCCGTTATGAGAAGGTGCTTAGAACCCCATCAGGATTAGTTTTTTCCTCTTTATAAGATTTAATTTTCGCACTGCGACCTCACAAATCTTTACATTTTTAGACCATCACACCCAACTGCAAAGTATGATGCTTAAGCAATATCTTATATCACGTATAAATAAAAAGAAATATTGAAATCATCCCTGATAATGTTACCACAATGTAGGGGTATAGTTATACCAATGTCTAAAAAATTGTTTATTTTAGCTTCGAGATTTCCCTTTGTAGGTGCCCCTTTTTTCAGAAAGTGCCCCTTTTTGTTGGTGCCCTCCACTTTGAAATTCGCTCCACCGTCCCTGCATGGCACCCAGTTTCTGTATATACACTCAAAAAATTCAGACCTACAATTCAAAAGATTTGGAAGACCAATAATCTTCATAAACTTACGAAAAAACAGTAAATGGGGAAATTTCATTTTAAGAGCAGGCAGGATATTTTGTGCTTGTAAAGAACCATGAAAATCTTGAGTTCGCAAATCAAATTATAAAAATACTGTCTAAAATTTTCAGGAAAACTTATCAAACTTTCACCAACCAATTTCTTTGTGTATTTCTCAACAATAGCATCAACCTGAAGTTGAAAAATATAACAATAACTATTCATTTTATAAAACGGGGCCCAGTTCTGTTAAAAATTAATTTTTAAAGTAAAATTTAAATCAAATATACATAATACAACAGCAGCAACGAATACATAATTAAGTTACATAAGTTAAAAAATCCAATAACTAAACTATCATCACTAAATATTGCAATAAAATATAAACAATAACAACAAAAGTACATCATTACAATTACATCAATAGAGGACTCTCGAGCTGTGTAATAACTAAATCCCCCGTGGCGCATTCTTTGAGTAAGAGATGGCAACGCTTATTCAGAAACTGTTATAAATCTACATAAAATTTCAAAGTTCGAACAAGGATAAAAAAGATCCAATGTATATTTTATAAACATACAATTTGTTGTACGTCTCAATAAAAATCGAGGGCGCCAGGAGGGTCAAATCTGACTGACATGAGCGCTATACAAGAACCCACTATTATTATTATTATTATTATTATTATTCTACATACGAGAAATGTTAAACATCGAATTTCTATTTTGTTTTAATGGATGGAAAGTTTGTATTCTCTTTTTTTGCAAGGAAATACCCAGTTTCTTTTTGTGTCTTGACAAATGATTTAAATGCAATTTTAGTTGGTAAACTACTCTTGAAATTACAGGTGTATATAAAATATTTTAAGAGCAGGATTAAATATGACAAAAATTTGTTAGAAGGGGTACCAAAAAGCATTTCAAAAGTGGTTAAATTAAAATTTGAATCAACTTTGAGGTTAATTAATGTTAACACTTCATTTCAAATACCTTCTCACATTCACAAAATTGATTTTATACAAAAATGCATTCAAAGCAATAGCTTTATGAAAAACTTGGGAAATAAAAGGAACGTAAACGGGTATCTATGGTGCAACCAAAATTATTAACATGAATCTTATCCCACTTTTTATCTTGTGGTACAGTGAGTTTATCATGCCAATAATCATATCGATTTTGAGGAGAACACTGATTACGAAGTACTTTGTATGCATGTAGGAAGCCCCTGTTACATTTGCCCCGCCGTGTACTGTCGCCGGTCTCCCCAACATAGTTTATGGGGAAACGTTTTTTTTTGGTCGCGTGCCCAACAAAAGGTGCAGTACCCATTGTTCGAAATTATGTAAACTTGGTACAAAAAAGAAGAAGGAGGGGGAGTTGGAATCTACCCCCACCCTTTTATGGTTGTTATGGGGCGAAGGGGGAGGAGAGTCGCGGAGGGGGGGGGGGGGGGCGATGGTAGTGAGGTCCCCGGGCCCCCCGGCTCGGTTGGGGGGGGGGGGGGGGGTACCTAGATTTAGTTTGGCCGGGGATGTGCCGCTCAAGCCTCGGAACCCCCAAACGTTTTTAGGGGTCTATTTTTCTCGAAAAATTGTGCATATTTTTGAAATTTTGAAAAAACGGACCCATTTCTAATGGTATTTCCGTTAATAGCGGGACCCATGTTTAGGGATTTTTTGTAAAAAAGTGACCCATTAGAGCGGTTCACCCCCGTATGTTCTTATATGTGAGTCCTCTCCCCACCCGGGACTCAGAAGGGAGGTGGGGCGTGGATAATTATAACCTTTGGACAATTAAGACACAGGTCAATATAATTATGTAGCTTCAAAATATAAATCTGGAGTTTCACAACAATCAAGAAGTAATAAGGCATATACTTTCACTTCACATCCCCTCCTCTCCCTCCCCCTCTCTCTCTTTCCTCCAATCTCCCTCTACCACTTCTCTCTCTCTCTCTCTCTCTGTCATAATCATTTATACCATGGGAATCTATCTAGATCTCTATGATGTATACACACACACATTGGCGCATCGAGGCTGCAATTACGGCCAAAGCCTGGCTGGGGCAATTATTTTTCACTTATTAGCCCAGCAGGCTTGCGCCAGGCTGGGATCTGAGGCTCGGTTTCCATTCGAAAGGCGGCAGCCGGCGCATGCTTTTGAATGCCATTTCCTACCGCCAGCGGTAGCCGGCTGAGCTAATTTAAAAAATGCAGCCAGGACGCACAAGTGCAGTTAGCTGCCGCTGGCTGGTATATTTATTTTTGATGCCTCGCCTTAATAAGTTATCCAGGCCGCAAAATAGAGTTACCCTTTTAACAGGCTCACGGTGGAGAAGAAGAAAACAATCACGTACACACACGCACACACGCACACACACACACACACACACACACCACACTCAATCACTCTTCAATCTCTACCTATCATATTTCTCTTCTTGTTGTACTTTTGCCATGAACCCCCTATATTATATATTTTGTTTGCTTGTATCTAAATTAAGGGATTAACCTAGATAGGTATTTATACTTTTGTTATTCCTCCACTTAATTGGTTGTACATGTATCGTTTTGCACACTTTTATTTTATGTTGGGTGGAAATAAATTCAATTCAAGTTCAATTCAATTCAATAATATTTGTCAGGGGTCACACTTAAGGCACCAAGCTTCGCTTATCTTTGAGCCTTGGCAAATTCTGTATGAACAAGTTTATATCTCTTTATATGTCTTTCAATTATATTGAGGTTTTATCATGTATTCAGAACTGAATACATAAATGAAATTAAATATTAAAATTCAAATAAATTCCATGACCTACAAATTAAAGTTGTCTTATTGTAATGAAGCTTCTCATGAACAATATAAAGCTAGGCTACGACCAACATAGATTATATTATTAAGAACAAATCAATAGGCTAAGGACATATTATATAATTGTAATAATGGATTGATTTTAAGCAGGCACGTAGCCAGAGTTTGATGGGTTTTTTTTTTTTGGGGGGGGGCACATACATGTAATCGATCGAGGTAAAAAAAAAAGGGGTTTAAAAAAGTTCAACCGATCCTGGATTTTATATATATATATATTTCCCCCCGTGGGTACGTGCCTGCTTTTAAGAAATCCAAGCGCAGAAAAGTTTGAAACCTCACCAGGGTCTACCCGTATGTGAAGCCGGATATATTCTCAAAGTTGCAAGCTTTGGCATTGGTCATTTTGTGAGGCCAAGTCGGAGGAAAGATCGTATGCGGGTTGTTTGTTGATGGATTGCTGGCGCTGCGGTCAAGGGAGAGGTCATAAGTGTATCCATCATTATTTTGATAATCTATGATCTAAATGAATTTTCATTACATTGACCTATATACTTCATTTACCTTAAACTCGGTCATTACATAAAACAAAAAACAACACAAACAAAGATCCGCCCATATACATGTATCTATATTTCTTTTTCTCATTGAATAAAAAGTCTCTAAAATCAAAGCAAGGTTATCAGTTATCAAAACATCTGGCCAACCCCAGCGGCCCTATCAATCATTACACGCGAGCAAGAATGACCAAAGAGGCACAGATGAAGAAAGAGGTGAGGAAAAATTCCATAAAAGGGAAGCCATAATCGGTTCGAGTCATCAATTCAAGAGCTCATCTCACCCGCAACAAGCCAGATTGGTAAGCATCTATTTTCTACTTTGCAGACTACTAATTACCGAACTTTTCTTCCAAACCGATTTTTCGATAATATATATTTTGGCCCATTTCTAAATCTTGTTTCGTTCAAATGGCATCTGACCTATTTTAGTTGTTATTGTTCACCAATACGATGCATAACATATTATACAATCTGCCTTATAGGTTTATTTACTTTTAATTTATATCTTTGATGTTTAATGTTTACGCTTGATTCGTTAGGTTTCCCATTGTATATTATAAACATGACATCATTAGTCATCGATCTACAATCGTATGAAGATATCAATCATGTAGAGGTGATGTGGTCCTGAGGAAGAGTCAATCAAGACCGGATTACGTAATGTATCGTTGTTTTGTTCGCACAATTACAAAAAAAAAACACAAGTCTATTGAAATAGCTTTTCAGTTGGATATTGCGAAGGTATTTGCAATCGTATATACTGTTAGCATCACCCATTCAATTTATCTCTAAAGTCAGCAGCGCAAGTATAGGATTTTTAATTTTTTTAATGGCAACCTGGGCAAATTATGAATTTGTGCCGCCTCTATCCAAAAATTATGAGCTCAAAATACTCATAATTGCTATTTCATTTCTCGTTCATATCGTTCAAAAATTATAGCAATGTATTGAATTTTTTCAACGCATTTAATCCAGGAATCGGTATTAAACCCAAAGCTTGTAAAGTCTAGGAGTTATCTAAGCGAGGGAGGAAAAGCGACCATGTGTGAAATTGATTGATTGATTCTATTCGTTAAATATTAGGCCTAAGTAAATTTGCATTAGATGAAAAAGACTCAATAGAAAGGAAATACCTTCATGCGATAACGCGTAAATTGGCGCATTCTGTTAAACTATTTCAAATACAAAAGAATCCTAACGGGTTAGGCTTCTTTTATAATAAATGAAAATTCATGCAAAATTTGCATTTTCACCTTTCAAAACGCGATTTCTAAAGTGTTAATACATGTTTTGGGGAAAAATTCCAACCGACGTTGTTTCAGAGTTTAAAAATGAAAAAATACTTTTCTATTCAATTTGTCGTACATATATTCTAGCAGTATATTAAGGACGAGCATTTTCGAGAAATACGGAACCAGCAAAGTTAAAATAACTCCTAATTTGTACAGGATCGCATTACTTGGCCCACACCGATCCTTTATTTTTTAAACAAAAAGCACTAAAAATTGCCGACTTATATACTATTCAAATAGCTATCATTATGTTTAAGTATATTAATAATCTGCTCCCTTCGTCTTTTGATGACATGTTTAAGTTCAATAGCTCTGTCCATACCTACCCAACTCGCATATCCGGAAACTTTCATCTCACAAACCCAAGACTGTTAATTGCCTCTAAATCAATTCGTCATCATGGTCCAGACATCTGGAATAATCTTTCAGACAATATTAAATCTTGTTCGACCATATACTCCTTGAAAGCCACTCTAAAAAAAAAACTATCATTCAATCTTATGAATCCCATACTCCAAATTAATATATTCACATAAATATTCATATTCGTCATTCAATATCCTCATTTTACTCAACTGCTACATACAGCACCAGCACCTCCATCTGCAATGCACCCACTTGATCAGTAAATATCAATTTCAGTCACGAATCTTTTTATGAGGCCGCCATCAATTTCAAGCCTTACCGCTCTCGATGGCGGTCTCCTGCGTTCATTGATTGGATTATATATTATATTATATGTGTTATATTATATTATATTATATGTGAGAGTATGTATAGGTGTATATGTGTATGTGTATGTATGTATGCATGTGCTACAGTGGCGTACCTGGGGTACTCCGTCAGGGGGGGGGGGGGCAAGCGACCGAAACAAACAAAAAAGGCGATGCTAATTTTCACTTCTGGCGAGCGAGCGAGCCAAAAAAAATCTTTAAGTAACGTTTGGTATATAAACTGGTATTGTTGCAAGTTGGGGGTGGGACCATTCACTTGTTAGCGACGTTAATTTCATTTTTTTGCAAACGAGCGTAGCGAGCAAGAAAAAAAATCACTTCTTTTTTAATAATTGCCACTTAAACTTGGTTCAATTGTCCCATGCAGGGCGATTTCATACCCATTTTAGCCAGTGAGCCAAAATACGTCTTTCTCTCAATGAATTGCTATATAAAATTTGTTTCATTGTTTGCAGGTCGGGGGCGGGCACAATCGTGTTTAAGGCAATGTCAATCCCATTTTAACGGGCAGGCAACCCCCTACATTTATCTTTTTAATGATATTGTAGCAGGTTAGTGGTGGGCACATAATTCCACGAGCTAGCGAGCGTAGCGAGCGAGCGAAAAAAATCACTTCTCTTTTATAGGGAAAATATGGTACATAAAACTTGGGTTCATTGTTGCATGTCAGGGACGTGATTATTAAAAGCGGTGTTATTTCTATTTTGGCGAGCGAGCGTAGCGAGCGAGCAAAAAAATAACTTCTCTTTTATAGGGAAAATATGGAACATAAACTTGGGTTCATTGTTCCATGTCAGGGACGTGATTATTAAAAGCGGTGTTACTTCTATTTGGGCGAGCGAGCGTAGCGAGCGAGCAAAATTTTTGTAATGATAATTGGTTCATAAATTTCAGATTTTTTTGTTGCAGGGCAGGGCTTACACAATCATGTCTAAGGTGATGTTAATTCCGTTTTGGCGATCACGAGCACACCAAAACTTCTTTGAATAACGTTTGGTACATAATTATTAACTGGTTGTTGCAGGTTGGGGCGGGCACGTTAGCGGTGTCAATTCCACTTTTTTCTCTTTCTTTCCTTTTTTTCTTCCCTTTTCTTTTTTTCTTTTTCTTTCCTTTCCTTTCTTTTCTTTTCTCTCCCCTTTTTTTTTTTTCCCCTGGAGCCCGTCAGGGAGGTACGCCAGTGATGTGCTATGTATATGTATATATATATATATATATGTATATGTATGTATATGTGCGTATATATGGATATATATATATATCTATAAAAAAAAAGTTTAAGCTCACTTCCTTATTTTGCATTCATTATGTATCATGACTTATTGTTTATCTTATGAATTGTTTTGTATATTATCTTTGTAAACACATTTTATATTATGTATTGTATTATTTTGAACGCAGAAATAAAGGCAAACAAACAAGCAAACAAACAAATAAATTCTCGTTCCCTTTGTTCTTCCTTATTTTTTAAACAAACAGAAGCTAAACTAGTCAAGATGATGATCAAAGTAGCTCTTGTGCTCTGTGCTATTGTGGCAACCAGTATGGTGTGCGCAAAGAATTTTGAAGAGCAAGATGCATTGGACACTTGTAAGTATATAAGTCAGCCAGGGACGCCAATGCTTGAAAAGTTTTGGTCGCCCTCTCAAGAAAACTGTCAGAAAATTTCTATAGCAATTGTCAGAAGAACTGTTAAATTAAGACATTTCGTTAACACATAATTTTGTCGTACGATTCTCTTTTACTCGGGGGGGGGGGCAGTAAGAGTCATGACCACAGGTTTTCCATCCCCTCCCCGAAACAAGTTTTTTATCCACTGTTCAAAAGTTACCCTTCAATTTTTTTTTCAAAAATTTCCCCACTAAAAAAGGTTAACCCTTTAGAACATGTCCTCTTAATGGTACTATGTCCCATTTGCAGGCTAAAACATGAAAGGTTAATATTTCCAACGGCATTTGAAAGATAATATTAATTTAGAACCTTCCCTCAAAACGAAAGGGGCTTAAAAATGTCTTTTAGTGGAAAAAAAACGAGCATTAGTTGTCGAATCGACTTTAGTGATTGCAATCATTTTAGTAATAGTCTGATTTTCAAACCCTTGTACCGAATACACGTACGTTTTGTGCTGCGCAAAGATTCAATCAGTTTAATTTTGGCCATTACAAGAAGTGGGTTATTCATGTAAACAAATTCTCATGTACCTTTACAGCTCATTTTATGTATGTTATTTTAAGAAGAAAAAAAAAAAGTCAGTCAGTCACTTAATAGTGTCTGACAGTAAAATCTAGAAAGTAAACGGGTTCCATTGCGTACTTTGAAAAATAGAACACTGCTAACGTTTACATATCACAGATAGGACATACGTGACATATTCATAATTCCTGCAAAGTTCTACAGAATTTGATGTTGGTTGCAAGTGGGACATAGTACCTTTATGAAGAAACTATTAACCACTTAAACATTGCTTTAAATATTAAACTATTATTGATATTGACAGCACAATGTCTAGGCAAGGGTACTCTAAATGCGTTTCAACAAACACAACAGACTTTCTACCCCCCTCATTTTTGCCTAGCTATTTGATTCCCTAAATGCGTCACTCGCCTTAACCAGCCGAAACCTTTTTGGTCGCGAATGTGTCTACAGCAATATATATTTGCTTTATTTTCATTAAATCTCGTTTCTATGGCAACATGCAGTGCTGAATATGATGCTCTCGGAGGAAGTTGCATCTCCTGATGACGCCGTAGCCTTGCAGAGCTGGTTCAGTCGCGCGGTTCATAAAGTCAGTCATGCAGTTAGGAGTGGCATCCACACTGGACAGGGCGTGTGCTCGGGGCTTGGTCTTTCTCCAGAAGAAGCTCGTAAGTATAGCCGCAGAAATATAATTATGAACAAAGAATAACAATAACAATAATGGCAATGATGATAATGATGATGATAATGATAATGGTAATTGATAATAATATTTCGTAAATAATAATTATTAGTATTATCATCATTATCATCATCATCATCATCATCATCATCATCACCATCATCATCAGTAATAATGATACTATCATTATTTCATCATCATTAATATTACTGGAAATAATTCAAACGTTTGGACCAGGTTCAATGTGTGGAGACAGCTAAGAAAGCCAACGGGGTTTATTGGTGCTGCCACCGAAACATCGTACCACGTACCCATTTCAATCCTGGGTGGGGAGAAACAATGAAAATAAAATGCCTTGCTTAGGGACATTAAGTAAGTGCCTTGATGGCTATTGAACTGACAATCTTAGATTCTCCAGTGAGTGTTTTAAGCCCCCCCTAAAAATAACAATAAGGCTCTTTTATTTCTTCTCATAATAGCCGCCCGGCACATTTTCCAAGGCATCCGGCCGGGCTTTTTTCATGATGGCCGCTAGCTTTTATGCTTATATTTTCCCCCTAAAAAACATTCTTTCAGCAGTATGTTTTTTTCATTAAAAAAACAAACAAAACAAAACAAAAACAGGTGGCCTCAAAAAAAAAAAGGGAGCGGGCGGCGCGGGGACGCTAAACATTATTTTTTGTGTGAATATTTTTCCTAACCAGTCCCCCCTCCTCGTTGCATCATACTTTCAAATTTCATGTATATCTTAGGCGTTAAAATTCTGTCTGCGGTCCCAGAGATGAGAGAAGAGGATCTCAGCGAAGAGGATCTTCGAGCGATCTGCGCTGGTGCACATGCCCTTGGCCGTTAGACTCGGTACGTATTTTTTTAAAACAATATTAACATGAAACGATGTTATTATACTGGTAAGCACTATTTTTTAATTTTTTTTTCTCCGTCGAAAATGGTACCCCGCCCCCTTAAGCACCAGGGGAGGGGGGCCGTCTCCAAATAACGGTAAAATTAACGTGTTTTTACCTATTTTTTTCCCAGGGGAGGAGGCCCTGCCCTCCGGATCCGCCTGGGGGGGGGGGGTGTGGCAAGCCTGGGCAAAACACAACTATAAAAAATCCACCACTTATAAACCTTTAACATGTATTTTGCATTAACAATTTAAATACATGTCAAGTCTCAAGACAATAGTAAGCATTGTTATAGAGTATAATATTGTAGGCATACTTCTTTCAGTTTGGATGTTCCTGCAGTATCAGTTTTAGAATTGTTGATGATTGCAATTGTTCAATAGTGGTAAATATGGAGTCATCAAAAGAATTATCTTCTAATAAGAAATACAATATACATGAGTTTGAATTGGTATATAATGCTTCTTTCTTCTCACCGTGTCCCCTCTCCCTTTCTCTCGTTCCCTCTCCCTTTCCCATTCTTTTTCTGTCTCCCTTTCCTCTCTCTTCCCCCTCCCCCTCTCTCTCCCTTTCTCTGTCTCCCTTTCTCCCAATCTTTCTCCTCTTTTTATGTCTCCCGACCTTTCCCCTCTCTCTCCCCTTTTCTCTGTCTCCCTTTTTCCTCCTTTCTCCCATCTTTCTCTGATTCTCTTTTCTCCACACTTCCTCATTGTGTTTTAAATGAAAGATATTGTCTTCTTTTATTTCTCACATAGGAAGGGATCGTGATACAACATTTGGAACGCTTGATGTCGATTCTTCCTCAAGAAACAATGAAATAAAAGCAAGGAATTGTCAACTTCCATCATGTTTTTGCAACTTCCTTATAATTAGAATCTTCTTTATCACTCCTGTATTCTTCAAATCCTTAAACCTTGTTAATCCTCTAAAATGAAACGATCGTGAGTGGTTTTCATTATCAATAAATACTTTGCCTTTACCTCCATGTATCCATTCATTATACATCTTTCCACGGTGTTTATAAATATGTAGGGTTAAAAGTACACCAACCTTTAAAATCTAGCATAATACTACATCTTTTCATCATAGCTTTAAATTAAAAAAATGTTCTCTCTGTTTTGCTCTTTTTTTTCCTAAAGAAAAATACCAATAACAAGACATTGTAAGCATGGTATAGGGAAATAACTAATAGTATTGGTAATAATGCTGATAATAAAATCACATTAACTTGCATACCATAGCTAGCGGTTTGTTTTGGATATTTTGTTAAATGCTATAAAACCAGTAGTGTATGATTGATAGAATATTGTTGGCATGCAGGGAAAATACGAAAAACAACAACACTTTGATGAGAAAAGTGTGGGAGGCAAAATTAAAATAAAGTGAAAAGGTTGAATAGAAAAATGAAGAGAGAAAGAGAAGAGGGGGAGCACGGGAGAGCACAGAGCAGAGAGAGGAGAGTTAAAGAAAGAGAAAGTGAGAGAGAGAGAGAGAGAGAGAGTGAGAGAGAGAGGGAGAGACAGAGAGAGAGATAGAGAGGGGACGTGAGGCAAGGAAAGGGGAATTATGTATACCATAGAGATCTATGTAGATCTTTATGGTGTATACACGCACACACACGAGCACACACGCACGCACACACATCACACTCAATCACTCTTCAATCTCTACCTATCGTATTTCTCTTCTTGCTGTACTTTTGCAATGAACCCTATATTATATATTTTGTTTGCTTGTATCTAAATTAAGGGGATAACCTAGATAGGTATTTCTACTTTTGTTATTCCTCCACTTAATTGGTTGGACATGTATCGTTTTGTTCACTTTTATTTTATGTTGGGTGGAAATAAATTCAATTCAAAATTCAATTCAGTTCAATAATATTTGTCAGGGGTCACACTTAAGGCATCAAGCTTTGCTTATCTTGGAGCCTTGGCAAATTCTGTATGAACAAGTTTATTTCTCTTTATATGTCTTTTAATTATATTGACTTTATATCATGTTTCAGAACTGAATAATTAAATGAAATTAAGTATTAAAATTCAAATAAATTCCATGACCTACAAATTAAAGTTGTCTTATTGTAATGAAGCTTATCATGAACAATATAAAGCTAGGCTATGACCAACATATATTATTTTATTAAGAACAAATCAATAGACTAAGGACAAATTATAAAATTGTAATAGTGGATTGCTTTTCAGAAATCCGAACGAGGACAAGTTTAACACCCTACCCGGGTCTACCCGTATGTGAAGCCGGACATATTCTCAAAGTCGCTAGTTTCGGCATTGATCATTTTGTCAGGCCAAGTCGGAGGAAAGATCGTATGCGGGTTGTTTGTTGATGGATGACTGGCGCTGCGGTAAAGGGAGAACTTAAACAAAAATAAAAACCATAAGTTTGTCGAGGTCATAAGTGTATCCATCATCATTTTGATAATATATGATCTAAATGAATCTTCATGTACATTGACCTATATACTACACCTACCTTCAACTCGGTCATTAAACAAAAAACAAAAAACAAAACAAAACAAATATCCGCCCTTATATATTTATATTTTTACATTTCTCATCGAATAAAAAGTCTCTAAAATCAAAATAGAGTTATCAGTTATCAAAACATCTGGCCAACCCCAGCGGTCCTATCAATCATTACACGCGAGCAAGAATGATCAAAGAGGCGTAGATGAGGAAAGTAGTGAGGAATAATATCCATAAAAGGGAAGCCATAATCGGTTCGAGTCATCAATTCAAGAGCTCATCTCACCCGCAACAAGCTGCCTTCAGAACCTTCTCACCAGATTGGTAAGCATCTGTTTTCTACTTTGCAGACTATAATCACAGAACTTTTATTTTAAACCGATCTTTCATTAATATGTATTTTGGCCCATTTCTAAATCTTGTTTTGTTCAAATGGCATATGACTTTTTTTTTTTTTTTATTGTTCACCAATACGATATATATTTTACAATCTGCCTAATAGGTTTATTTGCTTTTAATTTATATCTTTGATGTTTAATGTTTACGCTTGGTTCGTTATGTTTCCCATTGTATATTATAATGATGATATTATTAGTCTTCGGACTACAATCGTGTATCAGTGTATGAAGATATCAATAATGTAGAGGTGTTGTGGTCCTGTGGATGAGTCAATCAAGACCGGATTACCTAATGCATCGTTGTTATGTTCGCACATTTTAATGTTGGACAAGTCTATTGAAATAGGTTTTCAGTTTGATTTTGCGATGGTATTTGCAATCTTACATATTGTAAGCATCACCCATTTGATATATCTCTAAAGTCAGCGGCGTGAGTATCAGATTTTTTATTTCTTTTAATGGCAACCTGCATCGGGCAAATTATAAATTTGTGCCGCCCCTATCCAAAAATCATGAGCTCAAAATATTAACAAGCTTAGTTCTCGTTCATTTCGTTTAGAAATTATAGCAATGTAGTGAATTAACGCTTTTAATCCGGGAATCGGTAACCCAAAGTTTGATAAGTCTAGGAGTTATCCAAGCGAGGGAGGAAAAGCGACCATGTGGTAAAATTGATTGATTGATTCTATTCGTTAAATACTAGGCCTAAGTAAATTTGCATTAGATGAAAAAGACTCAATAGAAAGGAAATACCTCATGCAATAACGCGAGAAAGCGAATCTTCAGAAAATCGTGTTGGAATATAAATAGAATTACACTGATTGGTGGACAATTTTCTTAAGTTTGATACTTATGTCAGTCTGAAAAATATGTAAATTGGCACATTCTGTTAAAATATTTCCAACACAAAAGAATCCTAACGGGTTAGACTTCTTTTATTATATATTAAAATTCATGCAAAATTTGCATTTTCACCTACATAATGGAAAAAACTCCAACCGACGGTGTTTCAGAGTTTAAAAATGAAAAAATACTATTCTATTCAATTCGTCGTACATATATTCTACTACTAGGTTGAGCGTACTCGCACTGATTTGACAAGCTTTTTCTATTCAGTTCTATTCTCCATGATCTTTGGGAGCTCCTGTCTTGGTAGACAGGTTTCTTTTTCTAACTGGTCAATGTAAGTTATTGCTGGGCGCCCTCTGGTGCGTTTGCCCCTTGAGGGCTACCAGAAGAGCATTTGTGAAATAATTTCACTCTTGCTCCTCCAGCAGTGCCCACTGAAACGGAGGCGACGGTCTCTCAGTCTGGCTGAGATCGGTGTAATGTCCCTATACAGTTCAATATTGGTCATATGGTCACTCCAGTTGACATTTAGTGCTGCTCTCAAGAGTCTTGTATAGCAACCATCCAGTTGTTTTGCCAGGCTACTCGTCAATGTCCAGGCTTCCGATCCAAAGAGCAGTACAGTTTCCACTGAAGCCCTTAAGAAACGACTTTCAGTTTTCTACCGAGGTTTGATTTCCAAATGGCTGTCAGCTTTTTCAAAGCTATCCAGGCTTTCGCCTTTCGGATATTCAGGTCTTATTTTTACTGATCAACCCACGAGCCAAGATACTGAAAGTCTTCAGCTTTGTCTTGTCAGCAGTACAGATCTCGCCTTCACGAAGGTTGTACATCATGAATTCTGTCTTAGTACTGTTTATTTGTAGACCGATATGGCTTGCTGCAGACTCTACTTGTTCTAGGAGCTTCTGTGCCTTTTCCAGATTGTCTGAGATTAGTGCAATATCATCAGCAAAGTCGGTATCTGTGATCATTTCAGCAGGATATCTGCTACTTTTACTTTCCTGTAGGGTGAAGCCTAGATCCTCGAACCCTTCAGTAGCCATTCTTAGAGCATAATCCAATGTTATGATGAATAGGTATGGTGCTAAGGTATCTCCTTGAAGCACTCCTGCTAAGATGTTAAAGGAGTCAGTCTCTCCATCCGGTGAACGTACTTGAGCTGTGGTATCTTTGTACATCAATCCTACTGCTGTAACTATTGTGTGTGGTATTCCATAGGCTCTTAAGATCTCTAACATCTTCTTCCTATTGATTGAATCAAAGGCCTTCTTAAAATCCACGAACGTAAACACTGCCGTCAGATGCTTTGCTTTAATACCTTCCACCTGTCTTCGCAAAGTTAGAATTTGCGCTACTGTAGATCTTCCTGGACGGAATACATTCTGGTTCTTGCGGAGAAGGGGTTCCAGGTGAGGACGGATTCTATTCAAAAGCATTTTGTTGAATACTTTTGCAGCTACTGGGGTCAGTGCTATATACCACGGTAGTTTTGAGGGGGTACTGAGATCTCCCTTTTTGGGTACAGGGATTATTATGCTCCTAGACCACAAGTCTGGTTTCTCGCCATGGGTAAGTGATCTGTTGCATACTTCCAGAAGTTGTTGGTCAAGGGCACCAGACTTCCATACCTCTGCTGGGATTCCATCCACAGCGGGGCATTTATTATTGGAGAGGGAGGTAACTGCCACTTTGAGTTCTCCAATGGTAAATTTGCTTGTTTTGATTGGGAGTGTCTTTTGGACCATCTTCCTTACTGTATTGTTGTTGTCTGGTGGAGGTTGACCAAGTAGATTAGAAAAGTGATCTTTCAACTGGTTTAGTCTCTCTTGTGGTGTTTTACCTCTAAGCTGATCCACTGGGGTCGAGGCCTTTCAGTGATCTCTTTCACAATATTCCATACTTTCCTAGTCTGCTGTTGGACTGCACCAATCTCTATCTCAGTGCATTTTTGAGCTATGTGACATATATATTCTAGCAATATATTAAGGACGAGCATTTTCGAGAAATACGGAACCAGCAAAATTGGAATAACTCCCAATTCTCGTTTCCTTTGTTCTTCCTTTTTTTAAACAAACAGAAGCTAAACTAGTCAAGATGATGATCAAAGTAGCTCTTGTGCTCTGTGCTATTGTGGCAACCAGTATGGTGTGCGCAAAGAATTTTGAAGAGCAAGATGCATTGGACACTTGTAAGTATATAAGTCAGCCAGGGACGTCAATGCTTAAAAAGTTGTGATCGCCCTCTCAAGAAAACTGCCAAAAACCCCTAAGCTATTGTCAGAAAAACTGTTAAATTAAGACATTTCGTTAACACATAATATTGTCGTACGATTCTCTTTTA